AACTCTGCTATGTTCTATTGGTGGTTTTTTAAACTAATAATTACTGTATCGAAAACTCCGGATCATATATATTTACTTGTCAGACACTCATCTTTGTGTCATTTATAATTTAAGATAACAATAGAATCACCTAATAAATAAGTTAATGTGTTTAAAATGCTTAGGTCAGGGCCTGGCACATGGTAAAGGCTCAATAAATATTCTGTGATTATTACCATACTTTAATTTCCTTGGTATATTTCCTAAGAGTGAGATGTCTTAGTTAAGAGATACACACATGTAAATTTTAAAATCTATTTTAGCCCTTTTAAAGATTATGGGAATCTTTATTAAGGACACTTTCTAACAGACTTCAAAGGATAGATAATCCTACAACAAGTGTTAAGGACTTTAATATTCCACTTCCAATAATGGATAAAACATACAGACAGAAGATCATTAAGGATATTGAAATTGATATAATAGATACTACAACCAACTAGACGTAACAGATAGATGGCATAGATAGCTCTCTATATCCCTGGATCTGCATCTGTGGTTCCAGATCATAGTATTTGAGGGGGATAAATGGATAAATAAGTCTGTTATTTATTTTTTTCTTGTTGCTATTCCCCAAACAATACAATATAATAGGTAAATAGCATTTACATTGTATTTAGCATTAAAAGGATAGTTACAAGTCATACAATAATGCTGTGGCCACCCACACACTGAGTATGTTGTGGTGGTCCCATAAGATTATAATAGAGCTGAAAAGTTCCTGTTACCTACAGATGTCTTCATAATCTTGACCCTGTGTAGGCCTAGGCTAATGTATGTGTTTATGCCTTAGTTTGTTTTTTGTTTGAGACACAGTCTTACTTTGTTACCCTGGGTAGAGTGCCATGGTGTCATAGCTTACAGCAACCTCAAATCCGTGGGCTCAAGCAACTCTCCCGCCTCAGCCTTGTGAATAGCTAGGACTATAGAGCCCACCACAATGTCCAGGTAGTTTTTCTGTATTTAGTAGAGATGGGGTCTCACTCTTGCTCTTGCTCAGGCTTGTCTCGAACTCCTGAGCTCAAGCAATCCACCTGCCTTGGCCTCCCAAAGTGCTTAAATTGTAGGCATGAGCCACCACACCCAGCCTATGTCTTAGTTTTTAATAAAAATACTTTAAAAGTAGGAAAAAAATTAATGGAAAAAAGCTTATAGAATATGGATATAAAGAAAGAAAATATTTTTTGTACATTGTAAACTGTATTTGTGTTTTAAACTAACTGCTACAACAAAAGATGAGAAAAGTTAAAAAGAAATTATAAGTTGGGCAGCGCCTGTGGCTCAAGGAGTAGGGTGCT